GAACATTTGGGTATAAGCAAGAACCTCCTCAAAAGAAAACTCAGTGTGCCCAGAGGGATCTTTTATATGCTGTGTTTGAGAACAGCGTTTCTGCTTGTACAATGTTCCCTGAAAGTACTTGATTTGCAAAAGCGTGACAGGGAGTTCAGGTTTTTAGGTCAGGCGATAGTGTAATGTCTCTTGCTGATAAAATATGTGTTTCCCTGCTCGGGCTAAAAGAGCTGCACAAGATTTACGTGCTTTGGAGGGTTTGTAGATATTCCCCTCAGCAGAAGAGCACAGAGGCCATAAAGCACTTTTTCCATCGTTGGGTTTGACGGCGTGTGAGAGTAACCAAATACCAAACATGACTCACAATGATTTCCTCCTTCATCCATCTCACCACACTCCTCCAAACGTCCTCAGAGAAATCGTCCTCTTGTCTTCGGAGACGCGATAGAGGCCAGTGAGCAGAAGGCTTGGGACAAACTGCAGGAGCATCTGTCATCTGCAGACACCACATTTGCATCTCTATGAAGCTTTTAAGGACTATATCTTTGCTTCATGACAAACCTCACTATTAGTTGGCTCTGTTCGCCACACATGCAATCACAGTTCTATAGGCTGACACAGGCGCATGTGAAATGATGTATTTCCAGTGTAATGTTTTATAATAATAAAATAAGAGACTGACTTATCAAGTACTTTCATTAGACTGTGTCCCATTATGTGTGGCTTCAGAGGTATTCAAAAGGGAAAGCAAAACAATGTAACAATATATACTTGTGGCCATACTTCCCGTCAGACCTCTGAAGCTGTGCAGGGCAGGGCTTGGTTAGTACTGTGATGGGAGACCTCTGGGAACACCAGTGGGGAGCTGCGGCTGTAAAGTGACAAACTGTTGTTGTGTCCTTAGGCAAGACACTTCACCCACATTGCCTAGAATGAGTCTGGTGTGTGTGTGTGAAAGGTTGGTGGTGGTCGGAGGGGCCGATGGCACATGCTGGTTGCCACGCTTTTGTCAGTGTGCCCCAGGGCAGCTGTGGCTACAGTAGTAGTTTATCACCACCGTGTTTGGAGTGAATGAATATTGGCATGTGAAGCGTCTTTGAGTGTCTTGAAAAGGGCTGTATAAAAACCGATGCATCATTAGTATTATCACCATTATTATTATTAATATCTGAAATTTCCCCACTTTGGGACTGATAAAGGATCTCTTAATCTTAGTCTATTGATATAAAATTCAAGTTTCAGTATTATCAGAATTCCCACAGAGGAGCTGGAGGAAGCGTCTGTGGATAGAGAAGTCGGGGTGTGTCTCTGCTTAGACTGCTGCCCCTGCAACCCAGCAACAGATAAAGTGGAAGAAAATGGACGGACGGAAATTTTTGTATTTAGGTTACATCAAAAATAACCTGTGATTGGCCTTCATCTCCATAAATCCGACTCAAATATGGCCTTCAGCTTGAATCTATAATGTTCATGTTATTATCTCTATTGAGGATTTTCTAAAAAGTTTTATATATTTTTCCCATCTCCTCATGCAGTTTCATCTAGCATTTAAACCTTTACCATTATAACTGATATAACCCTGACCTAATGTCAAGGTTTTGTTAAAATAGCAAAGAAAGAAACATTAGAATGCAGAGTTCTTAAATGCAGAGAAATGCAGAGAAACTTAACTGCGAGAATTGTGAAGGGCAAAAAATAGAAACACAAAAAACACCACTAAGCGATTTTAATACAGCATGATTTTCAAGCGAAAGAGTAAAGCATGATTGTATCGACAATCCTGTCAGCGCTCTGGCCACTGTTAAAACCACAGGAGAGCGGTCAATAACCAGGCTCTAAAAGGCCAGTGGTGAATAGTCAAAGTACGCAGCCATAAATATACAACTGATTGATGCAAGATCGATCACACAGGAGCTATTACAGCGTGTTTAGAATGCCCTGTGGCAAGTCATAAATTAACAAATCTGACCACATAGCGGCTTATTTGGGGATCAGACAGCTTCCATATGGAGAATTATTAGTTAAGTTTGTAAAAGGATCCTACATTGTAATTTGAATGCACTTGCAAAATACTTAATTTATTCATTCATTTCAAATCTAAAGCCCAAAAGCTTCTGTTCTATCAATTCATTTGTTTACAAAGTTGTGCCCATCAATTCCGAGACCACTTGAGCCACTCCGACATTAAAAGCTGTTTTTATCTCATCCGATGAATTCCAGCACGTAAAAGGCAGAGTCTGTTGTTGGTTGACAATAGCTATTATGATTTTTTTGAACCCTTTTGAGCCCCCACAAAAACACATGGCATGGACAACCTGTCTCCACACTGCGGACATGATCCTTTCTGTGTACTATTAACAGAAAGGCTTTCCAACACCGGAGTTGTCTGTGTAACTGTTGGCAAGAAAAAAAACATGATTATTATTCAGCATGTATTTTCCAACACGACAACTTTTTTCTCACTGAAGAAATTGGGCCAAGTGCAAATCCATGAAATATGTAGAAGAAGAAAGTCCTAAGCCCCCTCAATTTGAGCTGTCCCGGGACTGGGGAGATTGAGGTTAAGAGCAGGAAAGGGCGAACAAATACACATAACCCAGTTTCTCGACTAAAAGTTAGGAAGACTTTAAAGGTGCAGTATGTAAAAATCTGGCCAAAGGTGGTACTGCACTCTCCCTGACTCAGGTTGCCAGATATGCAGACAAATCCAGCTGGGAAAAAACAACAACAACTTTTTCACAAAGATAGAAATTCTGGTTTTATTCCTTGTTTTTTCATTACTGATTTGAGAATCATAACGAGACCTTTTTTAGTTCTTTGGCCTGACATGTTACTTTACCAATGAGATTAGTTCGGCGCGGTGAGTTCTGGCAACCCGGATCACTGACTTTCTGATTGGTAAAAAGGTGGAGGGCGGGATATAAAACTAACTAGGCTGAACTACTATTAAGAAGTATTTGAAAAGAGCATGTTTTATTAATGCCTTTTGACAGATCAGTTTACAGAAGATTTACAGAATGTGTGCATTTTTTACTGTTATGGTCTGAAATCGTTCATTGTAAGCCGACATATTCACACACTTATGCACATGTTGAGTTGCTCCCCAAACATCCCCAAACAAACATGCCATAGAGAAAGGAAAGAGGGGGGCGCTGTGAATTCAAATGAGACGAAAAGAAACAGAAATTCCAGGGAGAAACGATCAGATGCAATACATTTTAATGAGCAAAGCACATTCCCCCGACAGCTTTCACCAGAGACACACTGTAATAGTGTCATCTGTGCTTCTGACATCCTCTCAGCACACAGCCTCTTGTTTTGTTGAAATATTCATCAAACATACAAATGTGAGGTAATAGCTTCATTTTAAAGTTTCTTTTTGTCATGGGAAGGTCGCACAAATAAACTTTTCAAACTTATTTTGGACTGCATACTCTACAAACTTCTTTGAAAGGGTTTGTCCATCCAGGGAGTAACATATGTTTTGTTGAAAATACTGAATCTAAAATGTACAGAATGTGACTTGAGGAGTGTCTGCCCCCTTACTACCATCTGTTTGCATAAAGAATCTTCTCATATCTAAAGACGAGCAAGCAATGCCACCGGACACATGACGGGTCACATACTGTACTTTAGTTTATAAATCAGGTTGAAGGTTCATGTATATTTTAGATTTAAAACACTCTCATTATGCGGATGGAAAATATATCAACAAAACCACATCTTCTGAATCCTGCAACTGTTGGAGTCCCCTCCCCTGCTTCCTAATTGGACAAAATTAATTCAAACTGTTGAATGGCCAGCACGTTCTCTCCCCATTGGTCTAGTTATTCCTCTCCAGAAAATCTTTCGGATGGTTATGCCAAAGGAAGGAATGATGTTGAATATATTTGCAGATTATTTCTAAAATGTATGCTTTACATTATAGTCGAGGGCCGGGCACTCAAATTGTTTTATTATATTAAAAATTGAATACATTCGAAGTTACTGACCTTTAAAGCTGGTATACCTAACTTTTTTGTTTCATAACTTATTTTTTTGTCCCAACACAAAGAGCTTTGTTTAAGTAACATTGTTTGAACAAATCAGACCACAACAGGTTGTTTGTATTATTACTAGAAAATATGTTATCTTACACGAGTAACATAACCAAACTGTTTTAAGAGTGAGGAACTAGTTACATGGCTAAGCAGAGCAGGGTCTGGTTAATACTGTGATGGGACTCTGAAAACACAGGTGCCACAGTGGGGTGTCTGTGGCAAAGAGATTCAGAGGTCTGGTCAGGTAATAATGCCATAAAGGTATGAAAAGTGCCATAAACTACTAGCCTTTTCTTTAGTCAGGAACAACAACGCTTTTCCTGATGATAAAATGTAGGCTATTAAAGTATGTTGTTGATGACAACAACATTTCTTATAGATTGATTGCTTTGAAAAAAATAATTCATCCTGTGAAATGATTGGGTATGGATGAAAAAGTTGTCTGTTTTGTCTTTCAAGGTGACACTAGAATAGTCTATTCTCTGTGGCTCAGAGAATAGACTTAAAAGCACCACTGCCTATGTACAAGTCTCTATGGTCTCGCACCAAAGTACATCTTAGTGCCATATGAACCAACTCTGTCTCAGAGGAGCACAGGGACTGGCCTCCTGCTGGTGCCCAGAGTCAGGACTAAACATGAGGAGGCAGCCTTTCAGATTTTTATCCATCCAAAGCATTAATTAAGATTCATGCAACTAAAATCTGGAACAGTCTTTCTGAAAATGTGAGACAATCTGACAGTTCAAATCCATCTTGAAAACAGTCTGTTGTACCTTCCTTCACTCTTTTTTAATGTACTGCGGTTATTCGTGAGTTCAATGCCTTGTCTGATTGATCTTGTTTTGTTAAGCACTTTGAGTTTCCTTGTAAATGAGCTGTGTATATAAACTTGCCCTGCCATAGTAGACTACCAGGCAAGAAGGCCAGTGCATTTCATTAGCATCATCATCATCATCATCATTATTATTATTATAGAGCTACAGTCATGATGAGGGGACCCTTTTCTTTTCCCTGTTTGGTAAAGGTGAGAGATGGGTGAGCTAGCTTCAGGGTCCCAGATCTGCAGTCCCCCCCGCTGAGCTCTGGTCTGCGCCTCTGCTGGCTCCTCCCCCCGCCCTCTGCAGCCCCGCCTCCTGCCCGGGCAGACCGTAGCGGCGTTGTGGGCTCACGCAGTATCCAACACGCATTCCCAACAATAATCTTCTTTCCCGGGTTGCTGTCTGCTCCAACGGAACAAGTCGAACCCTGGGGATATTTATTTCTGCACACAAGGCTACTTTTCCTCCCTCAGCCTCGACTTTGCAGACTGGTGAGTGCGCGCTGATATAGTTTGGAGGTTGAATGTTGAAGCGCTGGACGGCAGAAGCATGTGCAGTTCTTTTGTGGAGTTGGAGCTGTATGGCACTGTGTTCTCCCCAAGCCTTGATAAACCTGTTATAAACCCGAAAACTGCGCTGTTTCCGCTGCTGTCGCCTGTCTGCCCTGCGCGGAGTCGCTCACATCCTCTCGGGGATGTTGCCAGATTTCACATGGCTTTCTTTTTTACTACAGCGATCAAACGGTGGGCTGTAGTTTCATTCGGTCGTGTTTGAATGAATCACCAGACAAACAAACTTTGACAAACTTTACAAGGAAGTCTTAGTCAATGTGAAACTTTGCAGTTCAAATTGTGCTTCCAAACTTGGTGCTTTGTGCGCCAAAAGCCCCGTTTCCACCAGCCCTACTTGGCCCTACTCTAATCGGATCTACTCTACCTGGTTGTGTTTCCTTTACACTTTAGTATCTGGTACCGTATCCTAGCAACCTACCCACAACAAACCAGTATCCATGGAAATTCCTTGGTAACCATGTCATCCAGCAGCGCTCTTACCAATCACTGTCAATTAGAACACTTTAGTACCAGCTTGGCCTGGATAGAACCAGGGCCAAGCAGGTACTAGAAAGTACCTGGTATCGATTCACAAGGGCCGGTGGAAACGCTCCCGATTGGGGTTGAGTACAGCTTAGTAGGGCCAAGTAAGACTGATGGAGCCAGGGCTAAAGAAGGATATTTTAAATTTTGTAGTGTATGCTGTGTAGCGTACTATCAAGCATCCCAATGAGCGAGTGAATGGATGGTGTTGATTGGGGGCTGATGCGCCAGTGTGTTCGGCGACTCGCTTCTGTCATCACCGTGTGTGGAATGATTGGAACAATATCTGAACTCTGAACATTGTAAGACCTTGGTCTGTAAAATGCGATATATAAATAAACATTACTTACTTACTTACTAGTAAGGACAGCGGTAAAAATTGCATTAATCTCAACTACCTTTCCATGTAAGGCATCGGTGCTCAATCCCAAAAAGGGTAGATGTATTCGGGCTGTAGTCGATCATAGAACTAAAGACGGACCTATCGATTGATTGTCCGAATAGGGGTTGTGAAAAAAGCTTGTCTGACACACTTCAACTCACAACAGCGGTTTTCTCATATCCATATTGCTTTTCTAAATGGCTGACTAATACATATAGTCTTCAAGATCATCATCTAGATGCAATTCAATTCGATTAATATTTGTGCAGCCTTTAATCACAACAGCAGTCGTCTCGGAGGACTTGACAAAATTGTAGACACAGAGAATCAAACGAACACATAGGAACCATTGGTCCATAGGGTGTGGATGTCCAATCTTCATAAATTTGGGTTAGGGTTAGTCCAGGAATGTCCTTAATCAATCACTGTTATGTCCAAAGAGTAGCAGCCTGAGTATAGCCTGGACTATGACAGCTGTAGGGAAGGGGACTTACACAAACAGACTTGCCTTAATTGTCTGTGTTTCATTCAGCTTGCACCATAATTGACATCAATAACAGACACTGACTTATTCCCTTATTCCAGATGTTCACGTTGTTTGACGGTACAGTGCCTCCCTCTGTCTGTTTGCTTCTAAATGTTTGATGTGTGAAGTCCTCTGCGGTGCTTCCTCCTGCTGCTGTAATACCTGCTTTCCTGTAATGAGCTGGTTTCAAAATACTGATTCAGTGCAGTTTGACAGGGGAAAACAGTAACTATGGCCGTCCGTGTTGGGAAGTGACTATATGTTGAGAATGGTCATCCAGAATACTACATTTAAGAAACTGTCTGAGATTTGTGACTGTAACTTTTGATAGTAATCGAATACACAAGTTATTTAAAAGAAATATTTAATGTACCTTTTAGAGTCAAGTGTGTTCTACCATCTTCTCATTAATGATGATAAAACATGTAACATTTAATATGTATTATTCTCCTGGTATGCAGTACACATACAGTATTATTGATCTGCAGCACAACACCATGTGCTTGTTTTCTCCAACTCAGCTGTTGTTTTGGGCTGTAACAGAAGTCAGGAAGACTTTATTGTTGTGGTTTTTTATTAGACAGAGGAATGGGGGGAGTTACATACAGCCTACTGACTGTTTACAGCTGTTTGAGATGCAAATTACTGTGTGGCTATTGCTTTTGTGTTTATATAGGACGTGAAAAATATAAAATTATTACTCGAGCTATATTTTTGTTTGAGTAATTTATAATCTCCTGAATTTATGGCGCTTTTAAGTCAGCCTGCACCATTACATGCTGGCTGTTCTTCACTTTGGTGGTTAATTTTGTTTTCTTTAGTTGTGATACACTGACTATTTGGCTGTGTTGTGCAGACCTTTTAGTTCAATTAGAAAAAAACATCCACTCTGCATAAACAAACAGACATTGAACGTCTGACTTTGTAGAAAGTGATTAAAAGAACTCTAAAGCAGGTGAAACAAATATTCCGTTTTAAATTTTTTGTAGGCATAATTTGAGAATATTGTTTATAATGTTTACAGATGTCACAGTTGTAACCATTTCTTGGGCAAAAGCACATATATATTTTTCAGTCATTCTTTTAAGGTCCTGTTTATTGCTGAAGCAGTGTATGACATATTTTGTTCAATGAAACATTTTCTCTTCTTATGTCAGAATATTAACATATAGTTTAAGTTGAAGCGTTTTAGCCTCCGGAGCGTCTGGTTCTTACATGTGACGTCCGTAAGTGAAGCTGAAAGAAAACTCTATGACCTGATGTTTGCGCTGAAGGCAAGTCTTACACAAAGATATTTGTCAGATATTCGCAGAGTGGATATAATTTCAACATTTTACTTATTGGGCAAATTGCATGTTACAATGTTTTCAAGGACTAAGAATAAGAAGTGGAAATCTGATTCTAAAATTATTGAACTGGATACTGCAATTCTGAAGCCTGACCTCCTGGCTGTGAATTATAAAACTGAAAAATATGAGAAATAGATATAAGAAATTGAATAATCACTACCCACAGAAAAAATATGGTTAGTTGCCACACTAGTGTATCAATTTCTGTATCAATGAAACAAACTAGCCATCAATTTTAGATGCTTATTTGTAGAAAGATAAGACATTCATTATTATTTTCCCCTAGATAATACTTACTAGACTCCAGGGACTGTTCACTCTCTTGTCACTCACACAATAATAATGACAGGCTGTTATGAGCCTCCAGAGAATTGGCCTCTCGCAGCGTTCATGGCATATTCGCTGTAGTTTTGTAGCTAACTCATGTTTAATTATCTCAACACAGTGATTTGGCTGGTTCTCATAAAATACTAAAACTTGTCGAATCTCCCAGGGGCTCATGTTTTCTATGCAGCATTATAGAGAAGTCTGGCTCTGACATCAAAGTTCCACATGCAACACTAATGCCTTGTCATAAATGTTGAATTTCCAAATCTGCTGCTTGACCCCCCACTGTTTTAAGATGTTTCCTCCGAGCTATCCCCACGAGCAGAGTGTTGCTTACTATGGAAAACCGATTATACAAGATCAGCAGTCTGATTACAGTGAGCGGCCTGTGCTGTCTGCTAATCTATGGTCTTAATACTGAGGCAGGCAAATCTCAGGGCAGCTATCAAAGCTACTTAAAAGCCCTTGAACCTCATTGTTCGGTTCCATTTTAGTGAGCTCTATTTTGCTTCTTGTCACACCAAGTATTGGCTGAAAGTTATCTGACCCTGAAAAGTTTTCAATGTTACAGGCACTTCATCACATTTGAGAAAGGGAGGCGTCTGAAGCCACCTGAGACCTGAGTTCAATATGTAAGATCTAGCTAATGAAACAATTCAAGATTCAAGCATCTTGGCTACGACTGAATGTGTAATTGGCTAAATTACACACAGATTTGCGTGTGTCCAATAACACACGCGAATCTATGGTCCTTATGAAACACATAGATTTGTCGTAGACTCTACCATATAAAGAACCTGTTACTGTTTACCATGGAGCAGCCCCAGCCCACGCTACACACCTTTAACTGATGACCTTTATTACTTCCTGTCGTTTCATATGTCTACTTCCTGGAGATTCATGCTTTGCGTTTGCTAACTCGAGCCATGCCTCCATAATACAAGCCAAAGTTACTAGTTTTGTGTGAACAAAAATGCTTGTTCTGGAACCAAACACAAGCTCTTCCTCCTGGGTTTTCACCTGCTTTGATTTATTATAGACACATGTGCTGTGCTACAGCTCTGTAAGGGATTTTATCATCAAGACACTGTAGGTGGGTGATACTGTATTTCAAATATATTTAAATGTATGTTTATCAAATTGCTGCTAAGAGTAGTGGTTGAAAATAAAAGTGCTTGCTCTGTCTGTTCTGAATGTGGTTTTATTTTGCTGCATTTGTTTCAAAAGCAGAAAAGTTGAAAGTCATGGCTCTGAAACTTAAGTGATCAGCAGAAGCCGTGATCGATCTCCTGCTGCGGAGACATGAGATGTTGGACCCTGCCCACTGTGGGCCGCCCGCTGTGAGGATAAGAGCTCCCACCACACTCTGGATCTCCCAATGTTCACACCAGGACGTCAGCGGCCCCCTTTCATTTTGTTCTCTTGCCTTTCAGACTTTACTAATGGCAACTATAAGCTTGTGGATTATCTTATGAAAACCGTGCAGATTTTTGTACCACATTTTCCCTTGGCTAAACATTAATTGTGGAGAATTTAGAAATTAGCCTTCCACAGCTCATGCTCTGCTGAAATGAGAGCAACTTGCTCATTCGCTCATAAAAATACCTTTTCATTATGTCAAAATTACACAACACTCCTATGAGGAAAATATGCATTTACATGTCTATATGTTGCTTGGTTGAGAATCTATTTTTGGGGATATTTTAGTTTAATAGATTTATGTGTAGAAGAAATACATGACTTCCATTCTACTTTACATACTATTTGTTCTTACCAGTGTGCAGATTTAATTTGCATATAGCTTTTAAGCAGAATCAGAATTCTGTTTATTGACATGGTAATTCACAGGAAGTCAAACTAGGAATTTGCTTTGGCATATTATGCAAACAAAAACAAATATAAAGGCATGCTTAAAGTCATAAGAAAATTCTAATATAAATACGTTAAATGAAAAAAAAAAGATATCTGTTTGGAAAAGTAATTTCTTAAACGTAAAAATTATTCCTCAAGTCACACGTTCTGTTACAAGCATTACATTTGACCAGAAGCAAAAAAGCTTTTCTCTAATTTCCACTCGTATCGCAATAGTTTCTGCATCTTACGCATTTTCCCTCTAGCTGCTCCTTAAAGACTCCACTAAAGTCAGAGGAAGACGATGAATGCCTTTGGGGCCTCTGCTGTCTCTGTTTCATATTGTCTTAATGCTGAAGTGTCGTGTCCAGAACTGTGTGTCAGGAGAGCAGTGCAAACAGGACGTGAGCTCATGGCGTTCAGGTTCAGGAAGGACTTTTTTCCCTCACATTGTTGTGGAACGCACGGTTGGCTCGGTAACGCACATTCTTAGCACCCTCTGATATGATAGAGCAGCATGACATAGCAGCGATAAGATTAGCAACAAATAGACAGAGTTTGCTGTTGAACAATATTAGTTGACTTGCGGTTATGAGCATGAAACATAGAATTGGAAAAGAAAGCAAGGAGACATTTAACAAAAAAGGTACTCACAATTCTTTGTTGTCCACTGCTGTTTTGTGAGCTTATATGGATATTGGGCCGTGTATGGGTGGAGTGTGGTGTGCTCCTGCTTGGCTTTCTGGTACCGGTTTGACACCCCTGTTGTAGGTGAAATTTCAGTGTTGTAGAGCATATGACAAATCGGAAAGACTAAAGATGTATAGGTGAAACTCATTAGAATATTGTTCAAAAATTAATTCATTTCCGTGATTAAACTTAAAATGGAAACCAATACATGATACATACTCGTTTCATGCAAAGTGACTAAGTCTTTGTTATAATTTAGAAGATTATGGCTTACATTTTCTAAATATTCTAATGTGTTTTTTAGTGTTTTTACAAGCTGTGAGCCAAATATCAACATTATAACACAATGTGAGCCAAATATCAATATTATAACACAATGTGAGCCAAATAGATAGATAGATAGATAGATACTTAATTGATCCCCGTAGGAAAAATTCACGTGTCCAGTAGCATCAAAAATAAAAATAAATTAATCATTCTAATATCAACATTATACATAATCTTCCTCTATCTCTTTTCATGTAATAATTCTCTCATACTTTTAGCCTCACATTGTTGAAGCTGTTGTCTTAATTACAGAAATGAACTTTGAATGGACTTTTGAACAATATTCTAATTTCCTCAAGTTCACCCCCTATGAATGACACTATAAACAGCTGTAATATTAGAGAATGCCTCTCCACGTTGTGACTATAAAACAATCACACATAGGAGTACGTATACATAATACGCAGTCTGACAAATAGTTGAGCTTTAATAGAATGCAGCTGAAATTGTAAGGCTTAAGGGGCAGAACTTGCAATACTGTCCCTGAAAATATGAATTCCTAGAAGCATCAAGAGTTGAATTTGACTCTTGGTGTGGAATTGCTTTTTAAATACAGTCGACACGAATTAAAGTGGTCTGTTTTAGAATTATCATTTCTAATAGAGCACACTACACGTCTCTCTCTCTCTCTTGTGCCAAGGTTTCTGCTCCCTCGGCAAACGCCAGAAATGTTCCCATCTTTTTAGCACTTGCACAACCTTGCTTTGATGTATGTGAGTTCAGACATGATCCACAAGCTGCTACTTGACAAAATAAAACCACCATAAATAGGATTATGTAAACAAATATCAGTTATTAGAAAGCTCCTGCAGCTGCACATAAGTTATGAAGCGTGTTGTGGAAATCAACTTTTTGAAACTTTTTATTGCATGGTATACTCTAATATACTCTGATATGATATGATTTTACTCCCTTTTCAAAAACATTCCTGAAACCTGTTGTGATGTATTTATTTTGCTTTGCAGTGCACCGCTACATGCAACTCCGTGGGAGAATGAAGTTGTTGAGTCGAAGTCACTTTCCGTTTAAAGGCTCAGTTTTTGAGAAATGTTACGGTCTCTCCCAGACAAAAACTCCAAATTAGTTTTCGGTCTCTGCTGCTCATTGGAAGAGGTCTGACTTTAGTGCAGGGGGAGGGGCTGCTAATATTTGTGGCTTATATGCGTTTTAAAACTAGCAACATGTAACTTGATGATATGGTAATGGGCGATCTGGGGAAAATAAAAGCAATCCCCCCCATATTGACCTCTTCTGATTTCAAAACAAAAACAAATCATGAGTGTATAGTGTATTTCAATTTGAAGAGACTAAAGACACAATTAATCAGAATCAGAATCAGAATCAGAATCATTTTTATTGCCACGTAAGTAACAGGAGGTCACAGACTTGGAAATTGCTTTGGCTCAGTGCAACAGTCAAAAAGAGATAATAAAAATAAGAATAAAAAACACTTCTAAAGAATAAATTTAAATTTAAAATAGAGTTACAGTTACTATTTACAATATACAAGTGCACATGGTGCACACAATGTAAGGTGACAGCAGTACAGTGAAGTAAAGTGACGTATGATGGGCAGTAAAGTGACTTTATAAAGGGCGGGGGGACAGGTTAAGAAGTGTTCAAGAGTCCAACAGCAGAGGGGAAGAAACTGTTCTTGTGGCGGGAGGTTCTAGTCCTGATGGACCGCAGCCTCCTGCCTGAGGGGAGCGGTTGGAATAGTCCATGTGCAGGGTGAGAGGGGTCGGCTGTGACACAACCAGCCTGGCCTCGAGCTCGGGCGACGTACAGGTCCTGCAGCGATGGAAGGCTGCGGCCGATCACTTCCTCTGCAGAGCGCACAATGCGCTGTAGTCTCTGTTTGTCCCTGACTGTGGCTCCAGCGAACCACACGGTGACGGAGGAGGTGAGGATGGACTCGATGATGGCCGTGTAGAACTGCACCAACATCTGTGCAGGCAGCTTGGCTTTCCTGAGCTGCCGCAGGAAGTACATCCTCTGCTGGGCCTTCTTGATGAGGGAGCTGATGGTCGGCTCCCACTTGAGGTCCTGGGTGATGGTGGTGCCCAGGAAACGGAAGGACTCCACAGAGGTGATGGGGGAGTCCATCACGGAGGGTGATGGACTCCCCCATCTAATACAATAAAATGATTTATTTGTTTGGTGCATTGACCCCGGCAGTGACACTTGCAGCGATGAGATCGATTGCAGCTGAAGATGATCTCAGATCCCCCGGGGTGAAGCACTGGTGGTGGCTAGAGTATGGTGTGAATGGGGCATAGCCAGAGCAGAAGCCAGAGCAGGAGCCAGAGCAGGAGTCAGAGGGGGTGCTGGGGAAGTGGTGGGTGTTTAAGAGCCTCAGGAAGCGTTGCTTGTCAGGAAGTGGCAGCCTTTTAAACTGCCCGCTTTGCTGTGAGAGGGTTGGCAGGAGGCTGGCCGGGCTGTGTGATTGGCTGAGGCTCAGGGCTGGCAGAGCTGTGTGATTGGCTGAGGCTCGAGGCTGGCAGAGCTGTGTGCTTTCCAGGCTTGGAAGGGGGAATTTGCACTCGGTCTTTCAGTCTGAATATCCGCTTCAGCTTCATAACTAGGTTTGTCAAAAATATTAAAACTCAGATATTAATCTAAACTATCATTGACACATTTCCAAACGTGTCAATATCATGAAAAGGGCAAAATGTTAGCAGTTTTTGAATGATATTGATCTTAGAACTAATATAAACCATTTAAAAAGTACTATAATGTTGTATTGTAATTTATGTAAACAAAAAATCAATTGTTGTCTAATATTTTTTGCACAATACCAAATTAATGGAATTGATGATTTGTGTCTGTCGATAATCACAATCTACCAAAATTGAGATTGCAAAATTTAGCTTTTCCAATGTTTGGCCCAGCTCTATGGTGATTTATTGGACTTTCTGCATAAATCTGTGTTGTCTGCATATCCAGGAAGTACACACAGTGCTCCCACTCTTTACTATGGATCCTTCTGCTCTGCGTCCTGCTGACTCTGCTTGGATCTAATTAACCACCTGCAGGAACATTCTGACCGGTCACTTTGGCTTGATGAAACAAAACCATCATCACACGAGAAACCACTATCTCTTGCACTTGAATACTTCATTGCAGAGTGTTCCAAACAAAATACAAATCAGATAAATACAATCAGATGATAATCAATCCAGACTAATATTGAGAATGATTTTGACTTCATTATTTCAAAGTCTCAGGGCGACAGTAGCTCAGTTGGTAGAGCATTGGCCTTAAGGCCAGAAGGTCGTGGGTTCAATTCCCACCTCTGCACCTTCTCCACCGACTCCCACTGATGACTGCTGTCGTTGTGTCCTTGGGCAAGACACTTAACCCCACTTTGCCCAAAGCCCCCACTGAAAGATCAAGGCTATGCTCACACTCAGAGAGCAGCCGTCCTCCTGTGGACTCACCACCTGCAGAGGGTCAGTGAGGGGCTGGTGCTATGAGACTTGGGTGGCATCTCTGACTGCCACCCCCTTGACCCAGAAATGGATTAAAGGGTAGAAAATGGATGGAAATGGATGGATATTGAAAGTCTAGCACATTTCAAGTTGTAACTTCTACTCTTCAAAAACATTTTCTGGTGTTTTTGTTGAGAGGTGTTTTATTTGAAAAGGCTATACAGCTTTATGCAACTCCCTAGTTACAAGGGTAAACAAATGTTCTTGAGAACCATTATTTCTTAATAGCCCAACACATGGCCTGTAGCTCAAGGATTTATATCTAATTATGGAACAATTCCAACTGGCATTGAATCATGAATGGACTGTAATTATCTTGATAAAGTTGTCAAAAGTCAATTGTGGTTGTCAAGAAAAGGTGTATATAGCAAACTGCTAAAGCTGGGGGCACGTCACGCCGTGTTTATAGGCCTATCATTAAGGTATGACGTCATAGTTGCATTTGATAAATTATATTTGCAAATTTTCTTATTAGCTAGTGCTACACTTTTTCAGTATTTTTAGTATCCTCTTGTTTTTTGGATATCTCCAAATTGGTTGCATGGAAGGATTTCTTCACTGTTTGTTGGAGCTCGTAGCAGTCAATAATCTGTTACATGATGGTTTTTAAGTCTCAAGCGACAGGATGTCTCGACCACATGTGAAAATAAAAGGAAAGCAGCAGGACAACGATAGATGTTTGTCCTGTGTGCACAACACAGCTAATGAAAGTACAATACAAGAAGCTTTCACCTGATCCAGATATTTTTAGTTGGCTAAGCAAGTTCAGCATTGTTTGTTAATCAACCATTACAGCTATACCAACTTCAAACACCAATAAGAATAAGAGAGACAATTTCATATTTCATTCTTATTAACATAACATTTTTGTTTGTGCTTAGCAGTTTAATGCACGCGCTCCTCGGCCTCTGGTTTAGCGCCTGATTAGAAGTGACACTTGGTGTGGCCCAGCTCTGTCTAATACCGTGTTTGTATTGGCCTGGGACTTAGGGAGGACTCAAACCATCATTAGGGCAGCGAAGTGACTGAACTGTGCAGCTTCAGAATGAGATGCTAACGTCAAAAATAATTGGATATCCACAGTATGAAATGAGGATTAAAGTAGCTGAAGCAGTTACCGAGTGACCAGGGCGTGTTATGGTCAAACCCTCTAAATAAACAGACAGATTGGACGAGAATAAACAAAAGTTGTGTATGAGAGAGAAAAGAGGAGCAGATGGTTGCAGTAACCGCACCCAGGAAGCTGACAGCAAGCTCCGAGAAGGCCACGCAGAGAGTATTCAGTCAT